GATGTGTCCTTCGATGACATATTTAGACCAACAATTTCCCAAAGTAGAATGAAAATCGGGAATTTACACTTGGCGGGGTTCCCTTGTCAGGCGGGGTCAATTCTTTCTGGACACATAGTACCGTTCACCATGTTAACAAAACTTCTTTTAGAAAGTTTTTCTAGGCTACTAGATTTTCCCCGAGCCTGAGCCAACCGGGCCCTCACTTTTAGAGCACCCCTATGATATTGTTGGGCTCCTTTTGTAACATTTTTTACAGGTGAAGGAGCCTACTTAAATGATTTTGCCTGGGATATACTTTTTCAAGGGTGACCCCTTTTCTGGTAGATAGAGGTGAACGCTCCCTAGCACCAGTCCTTTCTGCTGGTCCAATGTTGGAAAGAAATCAAGAAAGTACATAATAAAAATAAATGTTGCCCTGGGAACGACTTTGTTCGGTACTCAGTATTGTTTACAGAAAACTCGCAATGTACTCTCTGCGAGGTTCTGCAGCAAGTTGTCTTTCTAATTCCACCCTAGGTATTTTGGGATCAGGTGGAGACAGTGTGATTACTGATAAATAAAGTGTGCAGCTGGCATGAACATTGTAGTGTTCAACACTATGGTGCACACACTTAGGTGTTCGACGAAAAATGTGACTACTTACAAGTCTTTAACGGTAAATTTGAGCACTTAAAAGTGTCGAAAGCTTACTGGCCAACCCAAGTGTTGCACCCTTAGAAGTGTTCAACTTTACTAATAAACACTTTTTAGTATTCAAATATCCAGTCGAGCACTTCGACCCTCCCTACGAACAAGTGGCTATCTTTTTGGGCGTTGCAGACAAAAGGCTATCTTTTTGAGCTTGGCAGACAAACGGCTATCTGCTTTTCTTTGAGGTTAGGGTTGTCCACGTTTATATTGAATAACTCCCGAAGCAAGAGACATAAAATTACCGTGTAAGAAATTTCGTGCTCTGACAACAGCAAAGAACAGTTGGTTAAACACTCATAGTGTTTTATAACCTCTACTGTGAGATATTAGAACCCAAAGTCGCGAGGTGGGAAAAGCAGTTAGCCGTTTGTCTGCCCAGCTCAAAAAGATAGCCTTTTGTCTGCCACGCCCAAAAAGATAGCCACTTGTACGTAGTGAGGGTCGACTTTAAAGTATGCAACCTAGCGTTGAGCATTTCATGTTTTCACCAGCATTTCACCAGTTGAACACTTTATTTATCAGTGATGCTTTCGCGCACCAGATAAACATGCAATCTTTTCTCTGTCAAAATAACAGGGGGAAATCTCAGTACCAAATTTTAGAAAGCTGCTTCTCAGATAATATTGCGTGACGTCACAAATACAGACCTGGTCACACAGTTTCATCAGCAGGTACAATTTCATTGATTCCAGTATCAGTCACTTCAGCAGTGAAATTGTCGTTAATGACGGGTAAAATAATCTGTGTGTCAATGATTTTAATAGTGACTGTAACAAAAGTATAACTTTAGATGTTGTGAAAAAAGCTGATAGTATTAAATACCATGAACCATACAAGCAAAATCCAAGGTTCTGACTGAACTACTCTTTGTAAGCTGCAATAGCTTCATCTAGTTAGGGTCGCACAGTAAATATTCTTGTCTTTGTAGTGCGGTGGAGTAGGTTTTAACCTGACATGGTATTAGATCGAATCCATGTTTGAAACGTAATCTCTGGACCTCCAAATATAGATAGCCGTGGTTGACGGGAACTTGTGCGTACATACCGAGTAATCTTGATTTGAGCAATCCATAACATTCTCCCACCTCCTTAACGATAAATGTTAATGTTCAACTTGGGCGCGTGGGTCGCTCGGGCTGCACCAGAATGAAGCAATGGCATTTCCTGGTAGAAAACGACAAACTTTTTCACCCAAAAATTCAAAACTGATACATTTGTGGGAGGGAGTGGGTGTAGGTGTTGTTGATCCGAATTATTGGCTGATCCGAAATAGGTTGAGTTATTCTATACTGCACAAAAGAACCTTCTTACGATGCCTCCGTGGAAGAGCAAACTGCAGAATGGTAATTTTGGGAAGAAACTGACGCGGCGCGAGGCCCAGGCCGCTGGTAATGACCATTCCTCACACCAGTTGCACATTTCTCGAGAACGCGCTACTGTCGAAACTTGAGCAGTCCCGCGGTTTGACTCGTATGATGTGGTTCTTTCGTTTGTGGGATTTGCAGATAACGGTCGCAGAGTTATTCTCGGTGCCTGACGTCGGCGATTCGACGCCTCAGCGTACAGGCAACCAGTTCGCCCACGTGAACAGATTATACACATCCAGGCTTTACACACACGGACACTGCATCTACCAGCAATGAATTTACAACAACATTTAACCGCCGAGAGGCTCGTGATATACATATATACCGAGTTACAACCGCAAAATCCGGTGAAGTGGACTATTTTCTCCATATTTTAAATGGCAGGGCCAGAAAGGGGTTGCCGAAAAAAAAAATTGAAAATGCCATACAGAAGGCAACCAGACCGCTCTTTTAAAGCTTCAAGAGCGAAATAAAGGCAAGGACGACTCATCCTAATTAGCAGCAGCTCTGTTAACTTTTTCACTGATTTCGTGTTGTTCTGGAGCAGTAGGGACAACATTAGTTGTTCAGGCGAACAACAAAACAGTTGTATACTTACGACCAAAGTTTATCAGAAACAACAAAAGTTGTTCAGCAGCAACAAAAGATGTGCAGAAACAACACATGTGGTTCAGCAGGAACAAAAGTTGATCAGGAAAAATGAAAGTTGTTGCAGGACAGCGAAAGTTGTTAAGGGGCAACATTGCTGGTTAGGAACTCATTGTTGTTTTGCAACAAACATTGCTGGGTTGCAACAAAAATTGCAGTCTTTCAACAACTTTTATTGTTTTCGAACAACATCGTTGATTGTCTACAACACCAACACCGTCGTTAATAAGAGAGGGTTTTTTTGTATGCAGTGCCCATTTTATTCATTAATATTGGCACACTATTAAAACAAGTGCGCAACCATTACATACACTAAGGTATGCAGCTCATCATTTTGCGCATTACGACATGTATTTAACTAATCTGCATTTTTCGTAGAGTGCAAATATTCGAAACGTTAACGAAATGTCTAATGATTGCTCACTAATTGACGTCTAGTCCAGTTCAACACCATGCAGTGTTAAGATTTTGCACACTTGAAACTGCACATCATTTGTCGTGGAGCTTTGTACATTTGTTTTATCAGTGCATTTGTTTTCTAGCTGGCAGTGACATTGCATCGCTGCTCAGGAGGCGTAAGCCCGAACCTTTGCGAGTACTACACACACTGGATCTGGACTACCGCTGTATGCAGTATGGTATCAGCCAAGGGCATGTTGTGGACACCTCTTGCTGAAGCCTTTGAACCTCCCTTTAAATGCCCAGTCCCCGCTGTAAGTTAACATGACTTGAAAGATTACTGTGACAGCCTGGCACTTCCCTTTGGCCTCCTAGGCCTTGAGCATGAAGTAAAGCGGTATGGAGTAGAAGCTTAATCTGCCCGGAGCCCTGCGCGCTGCCTCCCCAAACATCTGAACGGTTACAGCTACAGACATTGACGCGTCTTAACAACAATGTCCTGTGTACGGAGCGTCGTTACAAAAGCGTCGTTTTCACAATGTGCACACAGTGCAAACGCCCCTATGTAGATGTTACATTTTGAAAACGACGCTCCGTAGATGGGACATTGTTGTTAGGACGCGAACATGGGCCCTTGATAGATAGAACCAGAAGATTCCCTTGGTTGCTCATGAGGACGCACCTAACGGTCTCTACAGCGCCGCACAGTGCGACGAAATAGTGAAAAGTTGGAATAAAATATTATACAGTGGAACTTGGGTAAATCGGGTGCGTAGACTTCAAAAATGGCAGTCTGTCATGTGTGGCTCTTCGGGAAGGAACGCAGTTTAATTCAAAGACACGTCGAAGAGTTTCCAACGTGTATTTTCATTTAAGCTGCGTTCCGAATAGATCGGTGGCTTCACTCCTGAAAATGGAACGACCTAGGGAAGGGGGTCATCATAAAGGTCAAAAGGCTGAAAAGCTACAACTTTGACTTCTTTTAGAGGGATAATTTTGTAAAAGTTAAGATCTTATTGATGTTCCTTTTATCAGTTTGTCAAGACGAATCCGAATATGCCCCTCTCGTCCTTTTGACACCTGAGGACTTTTAAAGGGGTGCTCATCCTCTAAATTACAGTTTTTGGGGCCTTTTTGATTATTTTCAGTTCATAAAACTACGAGGTCGTCATAAATCGGTTTACCGTATGAACTTCACCCAACTATAAGGTTCTAAATGAATTTTAGTTTGGAAAAGTCACTAAAGTTTCTTGGTTTTTCAGGGGGTTTCAACTTGCAGTACAAAGAAAGAGTAAAAGTTTTACGGACACCATTGCACCGACAGCGTTCTCGTTTTTACAGGTGGAAGGTTTAGTAAAACCTTCAAATTGTCACACGATTTTTTTCGATCTGGCCACTTTGAAATTTTTTGTGGCAAATTTAAGACATTTTATTTCTCTAAAACTCTTAAATTTTCCACAGAAAATTTCAAAATGACCAGATCAAAAAAATCCTGTGTCAAATTGTAGGTAG